ACAGGTATTATGCAACCTCGCGTAACACTAGTAAACAGGTATTATGCAACCTCGCGTAACACTAGTAGTTAACAGGTATTATGCAACCTCGTGTAACACTAGTAGTTAACAGGTATTATGCAACCTCGTGTAACACTAGTAGTTAACAGGTATTATGCAACCTCGCGTAACACTAGTAGTTAACAGGTATTATGCAACCTCGCGTAACACTAGTAGTTAACAGGTATTATGCAACCTCGTGTAACACTAGTAGTTAACAGGTATTATGCAACCTCGTGTAACACTAGTAGTTAACAGGTATTATGCAACCTCGTGTAGCACTAGTAGTTAACAGGTAGTATGCAACCTCGTGTAACACTAGTAGTGAACAGGTATTATGCAACCTCGTGTAGCACTAGTAGTTAACAGGTATTATGCAACCCCGTGTAGCACTAGTAGTTAACAGGTATTATGCAACCTCGTGTAACACTAGTACTTAACAGGTATTATGCAACCTCGTGTAACACTAGTAGTTAACAGGTATTATGCAACCTCGTGTAACACTAGTAGTTAACAGGTATTATGCAACCTCGTGTAACACTAGTAGTTAACAGGTAGTATGCAACCTCGTGTAACACTAGTAGTTAACAGGTATTATGCAACCTCGTGTAACACTAGTAGTTAACAAGTATTATGCAACCTCGTGTAGTACTAGTAGTTAACAGGTATTATGCAACCTCGTGTAGCACTAGTAGTTAACAGGTATTATGCAACCTCATGTAACACTAGTAGTTAACAGGTATTATGCAACCTCGTGTAGCACTAGTAGTTAACAGGTATTATGCAACCTCGTGTAGCACTAGTAGTTAACAGGTATTATGCAACCTCGTGTAACACTAGTAGTTAACAGGTATTATGCAACCTCGTGTAGAACTAGTAGTTAACAGGTATTATGCAACCTCGTGTAGCACTAGTAGTTAACAGGTATTATGCAACCTCGAGTAGCACTAGTAGTTAACAGGTATGAAGCCTGGTGTAGCCACGAGGGTTCAGGTAACCTAGTAGTGTCCGACAGTGATAGCAGTAGTTTAGCAGTACTGGACGTTGAAGAAATAATAGTAATAACATTAGTAATGACAGCAGTAGTCAAATCCCAGGATGTGGCAGAACAGGTGGGATGGTAGTAGTAGTAGTTGTAGCATCAGCAGTGGTGGTGATGGTAGTGGTGATGGTGGTGGTGATGGTGGTGGTGATGGTGGTGGTGATGGTGGTGGTGATGGTGGTGGTGATGGTGGTGGTGATGGTGTGGTGTAGGTGGTGGTGATGGTATGGTGTTAGTGTGATGTGGTGTTGGTGGTGATGGTAGTGGTGATGGTAGTGGTGATGTAGTGGTGATGGTGTGGTGATGATGTGGTGATGGTGGGTGTGGTGATGGATGGATGGTGATGGTGTGGTGATGGTAGTGGTGATGGTGAGTGGTGATGGTGGTGGTGATGGTGGGTGGTGGTGATGATGGAGTGGTGATGGGTGGTGATGTGTGGTGATGTGGTGGTGATGGTGAGTGGTGATGGGTGATGGTAGTGGGATGGTAGTGGTGATGGGGGTGGTGGTGGATGGTGGTGATGGTAGTGGATGGGTGGTGGTGATGGTAGTGGTGATGGTGGTGGTGATGGTGGTGGTATGGTAGTGGTGATGGTGGGTGATGGTGTGGTGATGTGGTGATGGTGTGTGGTGATGGTGGTGGTGATGGTGGTGGTGATGGTAGTGGTTGAGTGGTATGGTGGTGGATGGTGTGTGATGGTGGTGGTGATGGTGGTGGTGATGGTGGTGGTGATGGTGGTGGTGATGGTAGTGGTGATGGTGTGGTGATGGTGTGGTGATGGTGGTGGTGATGGTGGTGGTGATGGTAGTGGTGATGGTGGTGGTGTATGATGGTGGTGATGGTGGTGGCGATGGTTGTGGTGATGGTGGTATGGTGTGGTGGTGTGGGGTGTGTGGTGGTGATGGTGGTGGTGATGGTAGTGGTGATGGTAGTGGTGATGGTGTGTGAATGTGGTGATGGTGGTGGTGATGTGTGGTGATGTAGTGGTGATGTGGTGTGGTAGTGGTGATGGTGGTGGTGATGTGGTGGTGATGGTGGGTGATGGGTGGTTGATGGTGGATGGTGGGTGGTGGATGTGGTGGTGGTGATGGTGGTGGTGATGGTGGTGATGGTAGTGGGATGGTAGTGGTGATGGTGGTGGTGATGGTGGTGGGTGATGGTATGGTGATGTAGTGGTGATGGTGGTGGTGATGGTAGTGGTGATGGTGGTGGTGAGTGGGTGATGGTGTGGTGATGGTGGTGGTGATGGTAGTGTGATGGTTGTGGTGATGGTGTGGTGATGGTGGATGGTAGAGGTGGGATGGTAGTGGTTATGAGTGGTGATTATGGGATGGTGGTATGGATGATGGTAGGTGATGGTGGTGGTGATGGTATGGTGACTGTTGGATGAGTGGTGATGGGGTGTTGGTTTGATGGTGGTGGTGATGGTAGTGGTGATGGTGTGGTGTGTGGTGGTGATGGTGTGGTGATGGTGGTGGATGTGGTGGATGTGGTGAGGTTAGGGATGGTCGGTGATGGTCGTGATGTGGTGTGATGGTATGTGATGTAGATGGTGATGGTGTGAGATGGTGGTATGGTGGTGGATGGGTGATGATGGTGGTGGTGATGGTAGTGTGTGTATGGTGATGGTGTGATGGTATGGTGTGTGTGATGGTGTGTGTGATGGTAGTGGTGATGTGGTGATGATGTGTTGATGGTGTATGTGTGGTGATGGTGGTGGGATGGTGGTGTGTGATGTGTGGTGATGGTAGTGGATAGTGTGGTATGGTAATGGAGAATGGTGGTATGTGTGGTGAAGGTGGTGGTGATGGTAGTGTGATGGTGTGGTGAGATGTGTGGGTCGATGGTTGTGTGATGGTGGTGTGATGGTGTAGTGGTGATGTGGTGTGATGGTAGTGGTGATGGTAGTGGTGATGGTAGGTATGGTGTGTGATGTAAGTGTGATGGTGTGATGATTATCAGTGGTGAATGTGTGAGATGTGGTAAATGTGGTGCGTAGACATTGTGGTATCAGTGGGGTACTGTTCACTCATGGACACTTGAACGCAACATGGTAACTAATGTTCATGATTGGTATACATGTTACAACAGTGTAACAAGTCACATCAGGAGTAACGATTGTTACATCAGTGGCAACGATTGTTCTGATCAGAGGTACATTGTCCATGCAGTGGCCTGTACATGTTCTAACATTTATGTTCCATCAGGTAAAAGTGGTTACATCATTGGTAATATAATGTTCCATCAGTGTAAAAGTGGTTTCATCAGGTCAGGAACACTTTGTATTCATAGTGTTATCAGTTGTTATCAGTGGTACATTGTCTAACCACATGTCGTAATTATTACAAGTTTATTCCATCATATTTGATAACATATGTTTATGTCACATATGTGGGTAACAATTGTTTTTACTACATCATAGGTTTAACATTGTTCCATCAGTGGTAACATTGTTCCATCAGTGGTAACATGTTACATCAGTGGTAACATTGTTACATCAGTGGTAACATTGTTACATCAGTGGTAACATTGTTACATCAGTGGTAACATTGTTACATCAGTGGTAACATTGTTCCATCAGTGGTAACATTGTTCCATCAGTGGTAACATTGTTCCATCAGTGGTAACATTGTTACATCAGTGGTAACATTGTTACATCAGTGGTAACATTGTTACATCAGTGGTAACATTGTTACATCAGTGGTAACATTGTTACATCAGTGGTAACATTGTTACATCAGTGGTAACATTGTTCCATCAGTGGTAACATTGTTACATCAGTGGTAACATTGTTACATCAGTGGTAACATTGTTACATCAGTGGTAACATTGTTCCATCAGTGGTAACATTGTTCCATCAGTGGTAACATTGTTACATCAGTGGTAACATTGTTCCATCAGTGGTAACATTGTTCCATCAGTGGTAACATTGTTCCATCAGTGGTAACATTGTTACATCAGTGGTAACATTGTTACATCAGTGGTAACATTGTTCCATCAGTGGTAACATTGTTACATCAGTGGTAACATTGTTCCATCAGTGGTAACATTGTTCCATCAGTGGTAACATTGTTCCATCAGTGGTAACATTGTTCCATCAGTGGTAACATTGTTCCATCAGTGGTAACATTGTTCATCATAGTACATCATGTGGTAACATGTACTGTGGTAACATGTTCCATCAGTGGTAACATTGTTACATCAGTGGTAACATTGTTACATCAGTGGTAACATTGTTCCATATATTAACTTCACACTAAACAATCTTACAGTAAAAACATGCTAGGTATTGTACCTAACAATAAAAGCACAGCAGCAAATAATATGATAATTATTTAGTTCAGGCAGCTTTGTTGTGAGTTCAAAGATAAGATGATAGTCACTATCTCCTGTAGTTAATATGTTGTGTGATGGTCACAGTTGTGGTCTATGGGGCAGCAGCTGCTTTTCGGTAACCAAACCTAACCTAACCAACTAAACCAAATCTAGACTAGGAATTAAATTCTAGGTTAGATTAAACTGGGTTTGATAAGTTAGATTTGTTAAGGTGAGTTTGCTATGCTATGTTCGTTAAGGTGAGTTTCTTAGGTTAGATAGCATTGTTAGGTTAAGTTACCTGTAAATAATAACTTTCATGGCACAGGCCCAAGATATAATTATGTCCAATTAATATTTGAGAATTTATATACAATAAAAAACACAAGCCCCTAAACTGGATATTAAGCAAAAATATACATACAACAGTAACATAGCAAAAAAAAAAAAATGTATATATATATATAGCAAAGAAAATTTGCATCAACCCATATGATGTAAGGCCCCTGAGCTTTTCCTAGGATGAACAAGGCTTTGTATTATCCTTATATATATTTTTTTTACTACTCGAGCAAAGCAAAATCAAGAACCGACCAAAGCTTACCTCCACAAAATATCTAGGATTTGTTAGGTATTGTCTGTTTGGTTTAGAGACTCTTGAAGTCATAACCCGCTCGTTACTGACGCTATTCTGGAAAAAAGAGTATGACGCGTACCAGACTGTTAAGTTCAGTAGTGACACATACCATGAACTTCCTGCCCAAGTGATACATACCATGAACTTCCTGCCCAAGTGACACATACCATGAACTTCCTGCCCAAGTGACACATACCATGAACTTCCTGCCCAAGTGACACATACCATGAACTTCCTGCCCAAGTGACACATACTATGACTTCCTGCCCAAGTGACACATACCATGAACTTCCTGCCCAAGTGACACATACCATGAACTTCCTGCCCAAGTGAACATACCATGAACTTCCTGCCCAAGTGACACATACTATGAACTTCCTGCCCAAGTGACACATACCATGAACTTCCTGCCCAAGTGACACATACCATGAACTTCCTGCCCAAGTGACACATACCATATACTTTCTGCCCAAGTGACACATACTATGAACTTCCTGCCCAAGTGACACATACCATATACTTCCTGCCGAAGTGACACATACCATGAACTTCCTGCCCAAGTGACACATATGAACTTCCTGCCCAAGTGACACATACCATACACTTCCTGCCCAAGTGACACATATGAACTTCCTGCCCAAGTGACACATACCATGAACTTCCTGCCCAAGTGACACATACCATGAACTTCCTGCCCAAGTGACAATACTATGAACTTCCTGCCCAAGTGACACATACCATGAACTTCCTGCCCAAGTGACACATACATGAACTTCCTGCCCAAGTGAACATACCATAACTTCCTGCCCAAGTGACACATATGAACTTCCTGCCCAAGTGACACATACCATGAACTTCCTGCCCAAGTGACACATACCATGAACTTCCTGCCCAAGTGACACATATGAACTTCCTGCCCAAGTGACACATACAGAACTTCCTGCCAAGTGACACATAATGAACTTCCTGCCCAAGTGACACATACCATACACTTCCTGCCCAAGTGACACATACCATGAACTTCCTGCCCAAGTGACACATACCATGAACTTCCTGCCCAAGTGATACATACCATGAACTTCCTGCCCAAGTGACACATACCATGAACTTCCTGCCCAAGTGACACATACCAGAACTTCCGCCCAAGTGACACATACCATGAACTTCCTGCCCAAGTGACACATACCATGAACTTCCTGCCCAAGTGACACATATGAACTTCCTGCCCAAGTGACACATACCATGAACTTCCTGCCCAAGTGACACATACCATGAACTTCCTGCCCAAGTGACACATACCATGAACTTCCTGCCCAAGTGACACATACCATGAACTTCCTGCCCAAGTGACACATACCATGAACTTCCTGCCCAAGTGACACATACCATGAACTTCCTGCCCAAGTGACACACACATCTTGAATAATAATGACAAGAAGGCGAGTGAGAAGAGACGCATATATACTGATAGCAAGAAGCATTAAACTCGTTGTACAGCAGCACTTGCCTAAATCTTTACCCAAGTTTTCTAAGATGAAGTGAAAAAAAATATAATAGCCTCGTTTTCTGTTCTGTGACTTTCAACACCGGAATAAAATATATTTCTCTCTAATTAATGCAAATTAATGTAACGATGAACATCAAAATGGTATACAATACCGACAGGTTGTAAGGTAAGACACATATGCAACAGTTAGACAACTTTATTCCGAAACGTTTCGCCTACACAGTAGGCTTCTTCAGTCGAATACAGAAAGTAGGCAGGAACAGTAGAGATGTGAAGACGATGTAATCAGTCCATCACCCTTAAAGTCGTAGAATTTGAGGTTGTCAGTCCCTCGGCCTGGAGAAGTTCAGTTCCATAGTCAGGAACTATCTGAAGATCAAGCGACAGTGCGGAGACTTAAATACTGTCGGAAAGAGAGGTGCAGGGTAGTAGTAGTAGTAGTAGTAGTAGTAGTAGTAGTATTAGTAGTAGTAGTAGTAGTGAGAGGCCACTGAGAAGTCATGTCCCTCTCAGATCCAACACTTCTCACTTGAAAAGCTTGTCCAGGGTGTTTTCTGTACCAAGATGCCACGTGTTGCAGTGTCTGACAAGATGAACATCTTCAGATAGTTCCTGACTATGGAACTGAACTTCTCCAGGCCGAGGGACTGACAACCTCAAATTCTACGACTTTAAGGGTGATGGACTGATTACATCGTCTTCACATCTCTACTGTTCCTGCCTACTTTCTGTATTCGACTGAAGAAGCCTACTGTGTAGGCGAAACGTTTCGGAATAAAGTTGTCTAACTGTTGCATATGTGTCTTACCTTACAAATTAATGTAAGTTCCTGTTAGAGCCTTCATAAGGGAAATATCTTGTCATTTTTCTTCTGTTTAAAACCTTATGAATGGATGAGGACTAACGTACAAATAGTAATTTAAACTGAATATCAAAACAATTGTTTGTTAATCAAGGCAAAACAAAGGAAGTAAAACATTAAATTAATTTCTAACTAGTGACGAAGGTAAGTTCCCGCTCTCACCTCTGATTTAACCATGAAAAATGAGTCTAAATTTGACTGACGAAGAGAAAGCTTGTATATATATATATATATATATATATATATATATATAATATATATATATATATATATATATATATATATATATATATATATATATATATATATATACCATGCATCGCCTTGTCAGCATTAGCTCAAATCGTCCAAAATAAAAAATCTGATCCAGTCCCTCTATCTCGAAAGCTTTTGCATGTACACTTCATGGATACTTTCTTAAGTACCTTGATCACTCACCAGCAACATTGTTATGTTCTCGAAATTCATGGATACAGGATCTCTAAGGCCCATTATATTTGTGGTCTCTTTTTACTTCATGTTTGGCTGCCTACACCTCGAAGTTACTGTACAGTGAGTCGTTTGTTATGGCTCGGGATATTCACAGAGCTGTGTCATATCTGAATATTTACAACGTCTTGGTAGGGTTGACATCAGCTGTTACTCTCCAAGCCGATACTATTTACCTTTCTATCTTTTTTCTTTAGGCTGTTCTTGAACATCGTCATTGATGACGGTTTTGTTGTCATTGGTGGTGGTGTTGCAGCCACTATGAACACTGGTGTCAATGGTGGTGGTGTTGCATCCACTATGAACACTGAGGTGTCAATGGTGGTGGTGTTGCATCCACTATGAACACTGAGGTGTCATTGGTGGTGGTGTTGCATCCACTATGAACACTGAGGTGTCAATGGTGGTGGTGTTGCATCCACTATGAACACTGAGGTGTCATTGGTGGTGGTGTTGCAGCCACTATGAACACTGAGGTGTCAATGGTGGTGGTGTTGCATCCACTATGAACACTGAGGTGTCAATGGTGGTGGTGTTGCAGCCACTATGAACACTGAGGTGTCATTGGTGATGGTGTTGCATCCACTATGAACACTGAGGTGTCAATGGTGATGGTGTTGCATCCACTATGAACACTGAGGTGTCAATGGTGGTGGTGTTGCATCCACTATGAACACTGAGGTGTCAATGGTGGTGGTGTTGCATCCACTATGAACACTGAGGTGTCAATGGTGATGGTGTTGCATCCACTATGAACACTGAGGTGTCAATGGTGGTGGTGTTGCATCCACTATGAACACTGAGGTGTCAATGGTGGTGGTGTTGCATCCACTATGAACACTGAGGTGTCAATGGTGGTGGTGTTGCATCCACTATGAACACTGAGGTGTCAATGGTGGTGGTGTTGCATCCACTATGAACACTGAGGTGTCAATGGTGATGGTGTTGCATCCACTATGAACACTGAGGTGTCAATGGTGGTGGTGTTGCAGCCACTATGAACACTGAGGTGTCAATGGTGGTGGTGTTGCATCCACTATGAACACTGAGGTGTCAATGGTGGTGGTGTTGCAGCCACTATGAACACTGAGGTGTCAATGGTGGTGGTGTTGCATCCACTATGAACACTGAGGTGTCAATGGTGATGGTGTTGCATCCACTATGAACACTGAGGTGTTAATGGTGGTGGTGTTGCAGCCACTGAGGTGTCATTGGTGGTGGTGTTGCATCCACTATGAACACTGAGGTGTCATTGGTGGTGGTGTTGCATCCACTATGAACACTGAGGTGTCATTGGTGGTGGTGTTGCATCCACTATGAACACTGAGGTGTCAATGGTGGTGGTGTTGCATCCACTATGAACACTGAGGTGTCAATGGTGGTGGTGTTGCAGCCACTATGAACACTGAGGTGTCATTGGTGGTGGTGTTGCATCCACTATGAACACTGAGGTGTCAATGGTGGTGGTGTTGCAGCCACTATGAACACTGAGGTGTCAATGGTGGTGGTGTTGCAGCCACTATGAACACTGAGGTGTCAATGATGGTGGTGTTGCAGCCACTATGAACACTGAGGTGTCAATGGTGGTGGTGTTGCATCCACTATGAACACTGACGTGTCAATGGTGGTGGTGTTGCAGCCACTATGAACACTGAGGTGTCAATGGTGGTGGTGTTGCAGCCACTATGAACACTGAGGTGTCAATGGTGGTGGTGTTGCAGCCACTATGAACACTGAGGTGTCAATGGTGGTGGTGTTGCAGCCACTATGAACACTGAGGTGTCAGTGGTGGTGTTGCAGCCACTATGAACACTGAGGTGTCAATGGTGGTGGTGTTGCAGCCACTATGAACACTGAGGTGTCAATGGTGGTGGTGTTGCAGCCACTATGAACACTGAGGTGTGAATGGTTGTACAAACCTGCAACAAGACGTCTACAGTGATCATCAAGTCAGGTGCTGACACAAGTACTCTGGCGTCTCCCTCTTCTTTCATTATTTAGTGATATTTAGAGTGCATACATCAGTGTTTTATACTAACATGATGACTACTTTGTGTACTATTCTACATTATATTCTCTACATCGTTCACTCCTCTATATTGTTCACTCTTCTACATTGTGCATTTTCGTACATACTACAGCCATTAGTTATCCCCGAAGGGATACCTTTACGAGGTTGCCTGACATTTTTCTTTC